TGTTTTGTGGAAAGTAATGTTAAAAGTAAGGTTAAGCAGGCAAAATAGCTCAATTATTATAATATAAATTAAATTAGCAAATGAAACACAATTTTCCGTATCTAATTTTATTTAAAACATTATAAAAAGTAATTTAATTCAATAAAATAGTGAATAAAACTTCAAAATTATAATTAAAATGAATAAAATGTTAGTGGAACAAGTACAGACTGCCAAAGCAAAAATCGTAATGTTGTAATATTTTTGGCAACAATAACAGTCAATCAAGCTCTAGAAAAAATTACTATGTAATAAGTTTGAGCAGATCGTAAAACAAAAGAACTAAAAACGAAAATACGGTCGTTTCATGGCGGCTATCAGTTAATTGACCTCACAAATGTGTAAATAATAATATAAAAAAAACGACTCATAATGGCTTTCGAGTGTCGCAACAATAATGAAAAATATTTACGATCTTCCGAGCATAAATAATGGAACAAAGGTTTAATCAGCGCCGGTTTCCGGCTGGCAGCCTTTCATTGGCTGATTCATCACAATTTCGGGCAAAAAATAGCGAGAAAATTAATGATACGTTAGTCCAGTTAAAAATAATAGTATCCAATCTAAGAACAATAATTTTTATATTATAAGATTTAAGAATAAGATGCGGGAGGTATACGTTCAATAAATGATTGCAGAGACCTCTAGAAATCTTTAGGAATACTTTTAAATGATCATTATACAGGACATTCGAAATTATTGCGATGTTTGGTCCTAAATACGGACCTGTAATACATTGAGAGGTGGTGTAAATGCGAAATAAAACCAATTTCATATGTAGCTTTTAAACATCTACCTAGTTAAGTTACATTATCTTAATTTAACGTAATTGAATTCACAAAAACCCCGTCCTAATATAGAAACAAATTCTAAGAAATCAAATATACAGAGTGTTGTTTTTAGGATAAAAGAGTTTATAAATTTTTAGCTAAACCTTACCTGGATTGTCCTATTTTTTTATAGAATGGTATATTCAACAAGATATGATGACAGGTGTACCAAACATCAAAAAAATCTAAGGGGTTGTTCACATGAATATGGGACGAAATAGGCAAATTTGATAAAACACCCTGTACCTCAGATATAAACGATCAAAGACCCACATTTCGTTTCCCAATTAATCACCCTGTAAAATGGCTGTAAATCTAAAAAATATTTAGCTTTCCCCAAGGATCGAACTCGAGTCCATTGTTGTTCTTGTTATTTATAAACTAGTTTTACGAAACAATAGATACAAATAGATTATGTTATGCTGGTGATAAAGCTGTTTTTCGTAATAAATAACATGAACGATTGTATTAGTTTCCAAAATCAGCTGAATTATGTATATAGTTGGTGCAATTGCAATGCATTAAATTTGAATATTAATAAATTAAAAATTTTTAGTTTTTTCGAAAAATAATATTTATGGAGGCGAATGACGTATGACGGTTGAGAAGGTGTCCCTCTAAAAAATCAAACTAGTCCTGTTCTTAAATTTTTTAAATAGTTTCTACTTCAAGATGTCCAGACTGTTTCACCCTATATAAATACCAATTTAAAGCTCACGGTTTATATGACGCACCCTGTATACACACTTCCAATACAACCATTTGTGGTAATTTATCTTGAATGTCTTTATCAGCGCATATTTTAGCTTGGAATTTTTAAAATGAAGATATATTGGAATATTTAGAAGAAAAAAAATTATAATAGATATTTAGTTTATTTTTACTAGGCGAGAGACTTCTAGAATGATACAATTAAATTTAATGAACTTAAATTAAAGCTAAGTGTTTTGAAATTTTTTAAGTCACCAAAAAAAGTTTAAATCCCCTTTTTTATTATTCACATTTAAAGGTAAATATTTCATCCAAGAGTTCATAATATTGATATATAATATTATTTAATGGTGTGGTGTCAAAAGATGAGATACAGGTCATTGAAGTTCATTATTTTTAACATATATTTATATTAACAAGTAAATATGTTTTCCTCTGGATGAAAAACAAATATTTCTTCCTAATTTTGAAGTTATAATCTTAAGATGCAATAAATAGGTATTTTACTTCAGTATCTCAATAAATATCCAATTAATTTTAAATTAGCCATACTGCGATTGTTTTGACATAATTAGATTTTGATAATATCATTGGCGTGCTGTTCTAAAGAGAAAAATACAGGTAAAAGGAGTGAAAGAGTGATGTAATATTTTCATGTTAAAAAATAGTAATTACAAATTAAATATCGGTCTATATCAAGGTATTTTCCAAAAATGTATTACAAATATTAAGGTCTGCATACACCGGGTGTTCGCGCGAAAGCTTCTGATGGTTTTGTTTATAGAAAAAATTAAGTTGCATAGGGGACATAATTTCACATACTTTTCTACACACTACCCCTCCCATTTCGCACCAAACTACCCTTAAGTCACACTTTTTTGAGTACATCCATAATAACAAATTTACACAGTATACTTTTTGACATATTTTAATTTGAAATTTTGAAAGAATATTTTAATTTACTACGAAAATTCAAGCTACCCATGGAGAAAGAGTATGTGGAATTACATCCCCATATGCACGGTCCGATATCCCAAAAATTTAGGGTTTCAATTTAAATTTTGCATCTGAAATTTTTGCGAGGACAATCATTATATATGTATAAAAATAGGTATATTATCTAAGACGTAGGGGCATTTTTTGATTCAAACAAATCAATGCCGTAAGATGTTGTGATTTTTATCTGTGTTTCGGTATAGATATATTTAAATTTTATCTCACATCAATATCGCTAAATTATTATAATTTAAAAAGAAAAAATATTGAAAGATATGCTGTCAAAAAAGGCAAATAGATCTTCTTGACATCAAGGGCGGCTCCAAGTCGAATTTGGGGGGGGGGGGCATGGTCCCCTTGCTTGACATACAGGGTCTCAATTTAAAAACTTTCCATTGGCGATATCTCCTAATAAAAAATTAATAGGATATATTGCCAATGGGAAGTTCTAAAATTGACACGCTGTATATTAAATTCGTAATATTCTATGCTTCATAAAACACTGGTGATGGATCATAGTTATGTAGACTTTAGTGTTAATTGACCTTCTGTGATGCGTTATTAATTTTTTTCTAGCAGATTTGGGAGATTGAGAAAAAATATACGGTGTCAATTTATAAACTTAAATGGGGGCTATATCTCACAAACGAAAGATCAAAAAATGCTTAAAATTGTTTCTAGGATAGGAAGGGGGAACTGAAATGACATAAAAGAGAACTCACCCCCATCAACCCCCTAGGCCCCACCAACCCCAACTAAAAAAGTTTAAATAGCAAACCCTACTTGTGATATATCATTGAAAAGTCTTTAAAAAATCCTATCCAATAGTATAAATAATAATCGTGAAACCCTTTAATAAAGTTTTTGTTGAATTACAAATTTTTTAGTTCTCGTTTATGTCATTTTAGTTCCCCCTTCCTATCCTAGAAACTATTTTAGCACTTTTTTGATATCTTTCGTTTGTGAGATATAGCCCTATAAGTTTTTAAATTGTCACACTATCTAAAAAAACGTTTGTTTGTTATAAGTAGTAAGAAAATGAAAATATTACTTTGAAAAAGTAATTTGTAATTGTAATTATTTTTAAAGTATAGGTAATTCTCTAGCGCGAACCCAGACGATTTTGAAATTGAAAAAGTTAAACTAAATAAAACTTTATTATATTTTTTAAATGCTCCTAATTTTTTCAAAACCCCCCTAATATAAAATTCTGGCTGCGCCACTGCATCACTTGTGTAAAAGAGAATTTTCACACTCGTGTGATTGTCGCACTCGATTTATACCTCGTGTGACAATATTCCCCGCTGGTGTGAAAAATTTCACTTTCCATACTCGTAATATGTATACTAATTAAAGTAAATTATTTTCGTTATTAGCAATGGAATTAACTAAAATTAAATAAATGTACGTTTAGCTTTTAAAATGTAGTTGCTTATTTCAAATAATTCATAAAACAAGCCCGTACTAGCAAGTAAACTTACCTGATGATGTTCAAATCTTCCGAAATATCGAATAAACACAAAATACTGGTAATAAATTATTATATTCAGCATTGAACATGCATTAAAATAGTCTGTCGGAATAATACTCTTTCACACCCAAATAACTAAATTGATGGTGGTCCTGCATTTACGAAACGTCGCCAAAAAAAGCGTTCTCATATAGGTACACGACATGATATAAAATAAAATATTTTTGAAAATAAACTTACAGTAGTAGAATAAAAAAAAATTGAATCGAATATCTCGGAAATCGTTCCTGATAATTTAGTTTTGAAAACTCTTCAAATTGTGCTTCTAAATATACAACTGTTTCCTCTTTTAACCAACCTTGTGCGAGATAGATAAAAAGTGACGACCCTGTATAATTGATTTATCTATCTGTATCACCTCGTATTATTACTAACAATTGAAAGAATCAACATTCCAATTAAACAAAAATGATTCAATATTATTGTTAAATCGAGTTATGTTTATTATTTATTTGATAATGCAAATTAAAATCCAAAACAAAGATGGAAAATGCCAATGTACCGGCTAAAAATAATCTAAACTATATTAAAAATAAACAATAATACTCATTCTAAATGAATTTATATAAATTTCTTAGCTAAATTACAAATCGAAAATGTATTCAGACTTGGTAGCTAGATGTACCATCTGGAGATGAATTTTGTTTGCCCGTATTATCGGGAATATTTCCTAATGATGAAATATCGTTTAAATATGAAATCAATTTTGAATTCGAATTATTTTAACAGTCATAAATTGAATGAAACGATTTTATTATCTACGAATTTTTTAATCTTGTCAGAATAAAAAAAGATATCTTTACCGGCAAAAAATTATTTAAAATATGCTCGCAAAAAACGTTATTTTAAAAATTTGAACAAGGAATTTAAATGGAATGGTAAATGGCACTTACCATGCTTTAACCCTGATGAGTACCTCGCCCTCGTGCAGAGTAGGTTCGGGTTTTTTCAAAATCTTCACGGACTTCAGCCCACCGAATCCCGTCAAAACCACGGCTCGCATTTCTTTTGTCGCTTCCTTTTCGTTTTCGGCAACAGGTTCGGCCTCCCCTGTACCATTCTCCTTCACTTCTTTGTTTTCTTCGACGGCGTTATCGACTTTGGGCTCTTCTGAAGCGCCATTAGTAACTACTGCTTCTTGTTCGGACATTTTCACACGGAATGGGACGCGAATTCAATTCAAAATCAAAACTGATACCGCGGAGTAGCAGACACTAGAGTTCTTTGTGTTACTAACGTATACCGTACTGGGTAAAATCCTACTCTAGAATGTAACAGGTGCTCTCTGTGTAGTCGATGTCTGGCCTGGCTGGGCTTTAATCTATAGGGCGCGTCTTGTGTTGGGGCGCATGCGCTTTTTCGCAATAAAAATAAAACAACCCTTGTTGTGCGTCGGACTCGCATAGTCATCGGCACTTTGGATTTTTCGTGGGAGTGCGTTTGCGAATTCAGGACCGTACTTGCAGTCTGGATTTTCTCTTATACCGGGTGCGCCCTTATTATGGGTGATTTCGGGATAAACGATTCCTGAACATAGCGGAATATATATTTTTTACTTTATATTCAATTAAATGATATGGGGGAAAGTACCCTGAAGAGAAACTACCCCCAAAATTTTATTAGTAGGATATTTTTTAAAGTAGAAAAGCTAAAGATATGATTAAAGGAAGATAATATTAAGAAGTGTTTAAGAGACAAACAATTCTGGATACAGAAAAAGACAGTAGCGTAACCAGGGGAGTAGGTACAACAAAAGTTTAAGTACTTTTATGAATCTAAAATTTGTATGAGAGGTATAAAAAGATTTTAAAACTTTATTTAGTGTATTAAGAACAACCTTGCAAAATAAAACAAAAACATTATAAATCAAAAAATAAGAAATATAAGCACATATAAAAACGACAATAATAATTACCTATTGTCCTAAAATAACGAAAAATAACTAAAAATTAACGATTAAAACAGAATGATTATTTTTCTGCATGGAATAGCAGTTCAAATCGGTAGGGTCCACTATTAGTAAATCAGCTATTTCCTATCTATATGTATCTGTAACGTGTGAAGGGTATGGGTTGTCTCACGGCACTTAGGCCTCATTAGGCTCATTGTGCATCCTCCTAAATTGATAGGCCCTTCTTAGTTTTAATATTAATATTGTTTTAAATGAACTATAATGAAACAATACTCATGTCTAAACAAATCATTTAGAATCAATTAGAATAGGCTTGTTTCTTGCTGGTGGCTGGACAGGGTAATATGATGAAATAAAATAACTACGTATCCCATCTTACAAATCAGAAATTCTTCATTAATTGTTTGGTCTTTTACAACATAACCCGTTTAGTAACCTTTTGTGTAACATGTATACCATGTTTCAAAAATATTTTCAGTGAAATATTTAACTAAAATATTTCAGAAACTTGTGCTTGAAATGTTATGTTTGAAACATTTGAAATATTTCTGAAACACTGAAATAATGTGTGCTGTATGGGCACATCCGCGCTATGACGGTTAAAGCCAAAAAACTGTCAAAAAGTTGTAAATTTTGGGTATGTATGTATGTATGTAGAAAAAAATCGTATATTCCAACTGTTCTAAATAAAAAGCTTCAACTTCATTTTTTGAGCATGTCACCCCCACCATCTCACTCTACGAGATGGTAGGAATTAAATTTTAAACAAGTACGTTGTAAATCAGGTCTAAATTGTCCTAAAAATGAGATTTTTATCTTATCTGTAACTATTTTAAATGCCAACCCCCACATCCGAACTATGACGGTTCAAATATATAAGAAAATAAAATCAAATTTGAAAATTTGGGTATGCATGTAGTAAAAAAAATATATTCCATCTCTTTTACATAAAACGTTCTACTTTCATTATTTGAGGTCCATATCAGCTAGAAGGCGGAAAGCTGTTATTTCATATATATGAAAAAATACATTAATATACCAAGATCAGCTCCAAGAATCTAACCCCAATTGAAATAACTTTGCAGGTATCTTTCAGAACAATGTGCTGAGTGTATTTTTATAATTTAATAAAAACTTACACAAAGATAAGTTAACATTACTCAATTTTATTATCAGAAGTTTCTTTTTCATTAAACATATTAAAGCTTTACACCGAGATAGCTCTGATAAATACAACCTTACCAATATGAATATTCTCCCTAATTTGTTTTATTTTTTTCATTTGCTAAAGTAAGATTGTTTATATACCTGCTTTAGGCGTTATCTTTAAAAATTCAACATGTCCAATTATGCACAAAATTATCAACCCACCCCCGTATGCCATACAATAATGACACTATCTGACAAATTAACAAATCTCGCTCATATTGAAACTGACTAGAAAATCGATGTCCGTCTATTTTTCAATGTCTGATTATATTACTAGTGGAAATATATTAGATCTGGCGAGGCAATATTACATATCGATTTTCGATTTACAAAAGCTACTGAAATTTTCAGCGAATAAAGACTTGGCCATAATGATCCTCATTTGGGGTGGGAGAGAGGAGACGCGATGTATGTCAATCGGTAAATATAATCTAATACACCCCGGCCGGCCGTCATGTTAGGGGAAATCAGAATTGACAAACGGGCATGTTGAAAAATTATTCACGAGTGGTGCATTTAATCATTTACATACAACGCAATAATAACCCTTATTGGATAATTAAAATTGATCGTAATTGTTATACGAATCGCGATACAATAGACGAAAACGCAATAACATATATAATGAAGATTTAGTATGGGGGTAGCTAAACTAATAAAAAAGGGAATATTGGGCATATTCCGCAAATAAACAGAAAAGCCTTAAGACAAACCGCAGACACGTGTTACTGATTGTTGGTCTTCATTAGTACGGTGCGCAGCCAATTTCAAAATAATTTCCTTTTTCTTGTTAAGATACTCCCAAAATCTTAATTTTGTTGATAATTTTCTTGGACTAGGGCGCATCGTGGGCTAAAACCGCTATAATTGTCTCCGTGGTGACGGTAGTATTACTCCACAAACCGCTGAATTTGTTGGCCGAAGCCCTTGAGCGATATTTTATTGTTTATTTTGAGTCCATCACAAGTTCCATGTTCTTTTTTTAACTTGACTGCGCTATACTGATAGTAGCGTAGCTTGGGACATAAGTGCTCGGTGAAATACATTTTTCGGGTCCCCCAGGTTTAAAAAAATGCACATTATAAAAAAATAAAAAAAATCACGCGCACCATCCCTTAGGGGACGATGGAGGATGTGGCAAATTAGTTAGAATTTTTTAAATGAAACAGTTGAAATCTTCGATTTTTCTACATATATATCCAAAATTTTTTTGACACTTTTCTTTATCACTGGACTGAAGAATTTTCGACCGAACCGTCATAGTTCGGAAAAATTTTGGGTATGTATCTAAAAAAAGTTGCAGATTTCAACAATGCCAGCATCCTCTTCATCTGAACTATGACGTTTAAGATCGGAATTTTTTGGAAAAATTTTATCAAAAAAATTTGAAATTTTGGGTTTTTATGTAGAAAAAATTATAGTTTCCAATTGTTTTATTGAAAAAATTGTAACTTTATTTTTTGAGGGTGACACCCCCTCCATATCAGCTAGGGGATAGGGGCAAAATTTGTGTACGCCATTTTCAAACTTATACGATAATGCATCCCATATATCAATCTTGGTCTGAATATCTCGACGGAACTGCTCTAGCTCTAGCCCTTAGAGCCGAATCTCAACCATTTGGTTTTTACCAACATTTTTAAAATGTAAAGAAAAAGTCCAATGAGAAGCACCCAGTGGTACTTACTAAAACAAGGCGTGGTACAATATGGGACGACAATTTAATTCATGATCGAAGAGAGGCGTAGAAAAGAAGCGGTTGAAATTATGAATGGTTTGCTGCAGCCGAGTAAATCTCTTAACATAACAACAAGATAATTTAGAACAACAACAAGAGAATCTAAAAACTAATTTAGAGAACTTAAAAACAAATTTAGTACAACAAACAACAACAAGAGAATTTGAAGACTAATTTAGAATATCAACAAGAACAGGCCAGAGTAGAGTTGAAAAGGCAAGTTAGAGAGAAGAATTCATTGTCAAGCTTCCGTAAGAAACATTGAAGCTGAAAACACCACCTCGTCTTTATAAGAGAAGCACCTCTTGGCGACGTTGTCAACTAATCAAATCTGTAGGCTGGCTCACGAGCTAGGAGGTGTCTATCATCTTAGGAGGATGCACAATGAGCCTAATGAGGCCTAAGTGCCCTGGGGGTAACCCACCCTCTACACGGTACAGATACAGAGATACTACCTGCTCGTCTTCATCTGTAACCGACCCAAGCCGTATTCGAACCCCAGTCTCACAAGACCATCGTAGCAAGACCCTGAAGCCACCCAGCAAAAACTATATCTAGATCTTCTCGCGCAAAATTGAGAGAAATTAGATTTCAGAAAAGTGAAGCCACTACTAAAACTATCCTTTAACCTACCCTCTCACAAATCTTAAATATCCTGCAAAATATGTAACGAAATAGCCAAAATGAGAGCAGAAGATGCTTCAATTGCGGAAGAATCGGACACGTTCAAAGAATCTATCGAAGCAGGGCTCGTTCAATGAATAGGGAATCGGAGAATGATATCACAAATTCACCCAAATCAACCTCTCGAAGTCCGTCACGAAATCCAACAAGAAATAATTACAGCAGATATGCCTCCCGGAGAATCCGGCCATCCATGCCTAGCCGGCTTTCTAGCAATAATCATGGAAACAAAAAAGTCGATACTATGGGACAGGCGTCGACTGTAATAAAGGGCCCCAAAATTCGAACTTATACCTTAAATACTGGTCAAGGGCTATATCGACAATCAAGAAAGCACCTTCGTCATAGATACTAGTGTAACCAAATCTTTTATTCGAACGGGGATCCTGCATCGAAAACTACGACCAACTCAAAGAAGTTTAGTTCTGGAAACCGCTGCAGGGCACACTACTTCTGTTTTAGGCGAGATATTAGCAACCATACAGATTGGTAATACCCTGATAGAACACTTATTCCTGGTGGTTGATATTAAGGATCAATGCGCCCTTGGTATGGACATTATGCAAAATAAGTTTATCATCGACCTTCAAAATAAGATGTTGGTAATTGGAAACGAGAAAATTATCATAAATTCAGAGGAAAAGACTCAACCGATAAACGTCCTAGTGGCAAAATGCTGAAGTCAGTGGCGGCTCGTGTCCAAAATTTTGGGAGT